AAACATCTTTAAAATAAAACTTTTTTCTCATATATTTCCCAAAATGTTCACTTGTATGTTTATAATTGAAAGGTATCTTAGGATATTGGATTGAATGTTGAAACGTCCTTATGAGAAAGAAAAAAAATGCTTTTGCTTCAATAGGATTGCATGTAAAATCATAAATGTAAATCAAAATTTTATTAAAATTAATATGTTTATGAATTTTGTTATGAAATATCACATATCTTTTTAATATTTAAGCAGTATAAATCAATCTAATTAATTTAAGCAATACAAATTAATGTAGTAGTATGTGGTGTACAAAGAGTTTAAATATTTTTAAAAAAAAAAAAAAAAAAAAAGAAGAATGTCTAAATTAATTGAATACTAAGCATCTGTAAACTATATCCATGTTGGCATATAGAATGATATAGATGATATATTGTAATATCAGTGAGTCGTAGAAACTTATTCAAGTTTATGAAGTTTATTTTTGTGGACCTCACATCAGAGTCTACAATAATAATGTTCCATTATTAATATTTAAAAAATTCAAATGACAACTTATTGCAGATGTGAAATGATAATTTCAACTGGCTAATCAGTATCTTATACTATCGTAATGACTCTCAGGATTTTTCATTGCTTAATATTGTGATTTTTAATGAGATGTATTAAGAGTGTATTTTTAATCAGATTTTCTTTCATACGAATTTTTTGGAGCATGATATGATGATGCTCATTGGGATTGATTGCATAGTTATGATCTTGCTTTTTTTTAAGAGAATTTGAAATATATTTTTGAATATTCTGTGTAATGTTTTTGCTATAAAACATCTTTAGAATGAACCTTTTTTTTTTCAATATGTAGACTAAACTTCAGATATACTTTTTTTAATATATTATGTATTAATAAGATTTATGTATTTCACTTAATGTCCACATGTGTATTTATTATTAAAAAGCATCTTAGGATCTCTGATTGAATCTTGAAAAATCTTTTATGGGAATGAAGAAAAGAAAGAGTTTCATTTTGCTTCAATATCATTGCACCGAAAAATAATTATAAAGCAATATTTTATATATTAGAATTAATGAATTGATATTAATTTTATTATGAAATACTATATACAGTGTCTCACAAAAATGATGGGACAACTTGTGCTTTACAAAGACAAAAGAAAACTGTAGTAAAATTATTTAAAAGAACATTTAAAAATTTTTTGGTTGGTCTGTTTGTCATACTTTAAATGTAGTAACAATTATTACATAACATACATTTTCTCAAAATATTAATTTAATTAAAAATAACAATTGTTAGAACGGAGCAAAGAAATGGGGCTCACATAGTGATTTGGGAACACTTTAATTTTTTCCCCCTCAAATATTCTAAATCCAAAAAAAGTTTTACGTTTTTAAAAAGGTTTTTAATATTTTAGTTTGGATTTCCTTGTACTTTTTAAAAACATGATTAATCTTCTTGGGATTATTCGAAGACTAATTTGTTTCTTGTGATTTTCTGTGGATTCTGTATGATTTTACCCATTCTTCTTGAAGTACCATTTAATTGTTTCTTTTTGAAGAAAGGGTTTTTGCGATTCTTGATTTCAATTCTGGCAATATTCTCTATGGGATTTAAGTCTATGTCTATGCAAATATTCTCTATGGGATTTTAATCTCTATGGATGTGTGTGTTTTTATTGTTCGTATGTTATACAGCAGCCGAGTCTAACGTCAAAGCAGTGTGCTTGGGGTCATTGTCTTGGTAGATTTTAAAATCGTCATAAGGTTCATTTTCGTGCTGAAGATTTCAAATTTGATTAAAATGTCAATATACTTGTATGAACCATTATACTACTGTCATAAAAACAGGTCACTCCAGCGGCGGCATACACCCCCTACCATAAACCTCCTCCACCATGTTTTACTGTTGGCACCAAGATTCTGTTTGCGAAATTCTTCCCTGGGTTTTCCTTCACACCAAGATTCTACCGTCAGAACAAATATATTAAATTTACTCCATAGCAAACATAACTTCATTCCAGTAATCAGAATTCTTATTTATGTTGGATTTTGCGAAAGCCAGTCTGAGTTTTCTATTCTTTTCACTTAAGAAGAATTTTTCCTGGCTGCTCTACCGTGATATCCAGCATCGAATTACTCTTCTAATAGTCTCAGGATTAACAATTACTCCATATAATGCTTGTAAATCAGCAGCAACTTTAGGAGCACTCATTCTGGATTTTTTTTAATATTTCGAACAATAATTCGCTTTACTCCATTGGATAGCTTTAATGGTCAGCCAGGTCTTTTTTTAATCTGAATCATATGATTCTTTTTATATCGTTTAATGATATTGAAAACTGTTGAATGACTCATGTTAACTGTTTCAGCAGTTTCTCTAATACAACGTTCAATATGCAAATTAATAACTAATTTTCGAATTTCAGGCAAAGTTTCTTTTCGTTTAGCATTCATGGCTGCACAGAGCTAAAAAAACACAAAAATTTCAAAACAAACTGGAGAGAAGGACTGCAGACGATTTTATAAATTATGGCTAATTGCTCTTGAGTAAAAATAAAAACTCCAAAAAATATTTTTATTGTAGTACGTAGTAGTATCTAATGGTGTCCCATCACTTATGTGAGCCATTTTTTTGCTCCGTTCTAACAATTGTATTTTATTAAATTATTTTTTAATATTTTGAGAAAATGTATGTTATGTAATAATTTGTTACTAAATTTAAGTATGAAACACACCCACAAATTTTTTTACATGTTTTTTAATTTATTTTATTACAGTTCCTTTTGTAAAGCACAAGTGTCCCATCACTTTTGTGAACACTGTATGTTTGTTAGTATTCAAGCAGTATAAATCAGTCTTCATAATTTAAGCAATAAAATCATCTGAGAGCCTTAACATATTCTTTCTTTTATTACAAAATGAAAAACATCTCATGTTTAGTTCATTACATATGTATATTTTCATTGATATTAACATACCGTATAAATTTTTACAAATAATTCTTGTGTCCATTTTTTTCCGTATAAAAGTTCAGGTAGTTTCAGTTTAAATTAAATCAGCTCTGCTAAATTTACAATATCATTCGAATCTTATTTTTATTTTCTGTTTGATAAATCGGTAGAACGGTATTTAGTATTTAAATATCATTACCATAACTTAGTATTTATTCCTAAAATTCGAAATATTAGTTTGTAAAAATTACTTTACTTTTTTTGTGTTTGAAATAAAACGCTGCGTACTACATAAATGAAACAGTCGTCTGCGTCTGCCGTGGGAACGATCGCCTTCGACTGTGACGTCACAAATCGGTGGAGCGGCCTGTAGATATGGCCTTGGTTGGAATCGCGGATAATGCACGTATTTAACACTCCGTAAAGGAATGTAACAAATATTTATAACGAGAAGTGCAGCAAAGAAGTTTCAAAAGAGAAAGCATCACTATTACAAGCTCTTATTAATTTTAGAAGCTACATTAAAGTTTAAAGTTTCTTCTTCACACACTCGCTTTCAAAACTACGTTATCTTGCCTGGCCTTCTACGTTCCCAGCAGGCTAAAAGACTAAATTCTTTGTTGTGATTTATACATGTTTACGGTCTGTAAATTTACGAACATGTGCCGTAGGTGAAGAATGGGAAAAACTAAATTGCAGCTAGCGAAAAAAAAGAAAAGCAAGAAACGAAAGTTAGGAATTGAAGAAAAACCTATTTTTATGCATAGTGAGTTTGATGGTTTAGCGAATTGGTTACAAATACAAAAAGTAAGCAATACTTGAGAGCTATTAAATTTAAATTATAGCTCATGGTAGGTTATGAATTTGTTGTATGTCAGATGTTATATCGTTTGTTTATGATTACTATTCCGTTGTGTAAATCAGTTATTTAGCATAAGGTAGATGTACTTATTACTATTACATTCACATATTTGTAAATAAAGTGAGCGACTGCTTAGTATTCATCACATCACCTAGAAGCTGAAAGGAAGCAAATTTTTGCCTTTAATCTGCTATAAGCATTCCTTGAATGAATTATTTTCGCTTCATGTTGTTTGCAGCTTTTCTTAGTATATAGGTCTATAAGTAATTTAAAAAATAATTGAACTGTACTTTATTTATATAAAATGTTGTATGAACTTAAATCCATTTAGTGCGAATACAAGTTATTATTACTTGCGCAATTGCTGCAAAGTTAGTTAATAATAATTTATTTCCTAAACAGTATTGATTAATTGATTATATTATCTCCTAAGTTTAGGAGATAATATAATCAATTAATCAATACTAAAGTAGAATAATCAATACTTAAGTAATTAATCAATACTTAAGTAGAATTATTTTAAAAGTGTGCATCCATACTGGTAAGTTATATTTTGAAAGATGTTTTGAAGTAATTTGAAAGCAAAATGTTAATAATGTTTTAACGGGGACTGGAGTTAAATCATCACGAAGAATAATATTACAATTGTAAAAGTAAAAATTAAAACATGTAATTATTGTCATTGATCGGAAATTAGTTGACTTTTCAAGGGGAACAAACCAACTCCCGTTCAATGATCAATAATTGATAAAAATACGTAAATATGAAAGTGTTTCGTCTTTACTCGAGTTATAAGTTAAAGCCAAACCGGGCAATTCTAGTCAGGCCAATATTTCCGCGAATAGTTGTTACTCAAAGAACTTATTCTCATGAAGCATTTTAGTCAATTCAATTTGGAGTAAAAATCAATTACTGTAGAGAAATCCTGTAAAACTCGAGTAACCGTCCCCGACACTATCATCTTTATGTATTTGAGTACTATATTATTTGTAGAAATTAAACATTGGAAATTGTCATTATGAAATCGAAATCAAAGTAAAGTTGAAATAAACATAGAAGATTATAAAAAAGGTAAATAATGCAAACTTTGTAAAAACAAATCTGGGAACTCTCATAATGAAAATCTTTTTTTTTTAACTTTATTTTATGTTTTTGTGTATTTTATAATTCATAATGAAGATGTTTTGAGCATTTATGTATTTTTTGCCTTTCTCTGAAGTCAGAACTGAATTGATTGAATGAGAAGTATATCTGTAATGAAATTCCAGCAAATAAATTTAAATAAAGTACAGCAAAAAATGTGTATTATTTAATAGGCCATGCAAAAAAGTAATGTGGTGATGACATCAGATTTCTTTTTTTAATAATGAAAACCTAAATGCTATTTATGATGGCTGTCTATTGTATAAATATCTTGTTCACTATTGATATTAGCTGGCCATTTTGTAAGGACCATTTTATTAAGAAGGCAAAATCATTAAAAATAGAGTGCTCTTTAATTATTGTTTCTGTTAATTCAGACAAGATGTGAATTAAATGTATAATATAATTTAATTTAGGATATTTCATTATCATGTAGATACATAGAATTGCCATGTATGGTACTTGGATCTTTAACTAGAAGTAGTAGTATTATTGTATATGATTCCATTTGATGATATCTTGGTGCAAATTTTGCATTGTACAAGTTAATTTGTTTTGGTATTGGAAATGTTAGAACTCCTCCAGTGGCGTAACTAGGGTGGGGCAAGGGGGACATCTGTCCCCAGACGCAGCATCTAAGGGGCGCCAAATTGATGCTACGAAATTTTTTAATGAAATGTTTTTCATTCTTGGCATGCAGAAAGGGGCACGAATTCTTCAGTTGTCCCCGGGCACTGAAAACTCTAGCTACACCCCTGAACTCCTCTTATACACGCCTTCGGTTGGTGAGAAACACCATGGCACCATATTATTATCTAAATTTTTTGTCTACATTTTGAACTTTAAGCCTAAAATGTCTGCAAAAATGTGATTTTTAACACATAATTTACAGCAAAAATCTGAGATGAAAATAAAAAATTTAGATAACAAAAACATAAAGTTTCTAGTCAAAAATATTTGACAAGAATACATGTACATAGCGATCCGTTTTAACTTAAAGAATTGTCAGAGAATTGCACAATCTATGCAGTGTAGGAATCTAGAAATTATGCATACCTTGCTAAAATATACTATCATAGAAACAATACATTTCAAACAATTCTATGTACACAGCGTTTTGTTTTAACTTTAAAAAAATCAGCAAATTGTGCAATCAACAAAATAAATTAAAATAACTAAAATAAATTACAAACAATTCAAAAAACAACAATAACGACTGAAATTCATAACAAAAATCGATTATCATTACATTCTACAAAATAATCATAACAATAAAATAAATGTTCTTACCATTCAGAATGCTTCTTCAAACAGCAAAAATGTCAATTTTAAACATTAGCAAAACTCATCAATTTCCACCACATTATCTCTCCTCCTATCTTCTGAGACACAAATATGTATGTATGTTATATTTTTATGCTATTTGCATTGCAATGTATACTATTTCAGTGTTAATTCTCATTTATCAAAAAGAAAATTTTAAATGTATTTAATTTTAAAATTGTAAATCATTATGAGAGTCATTTTTCCAAATATGTAAAACAATGGTTAAATATTATTAAAGCTCGTCTGGATTATGTATCATATGGTAGTATGATTTTAAATAGACACATTTAATGAATATAAAATTATATCTGTTAAGTACTATTTTGTGTCTATATACACTTGAAGATTCAAAACATTGTGACCACCTACAATAATACGTTGTGCAACCTATAGCCTGCAAAACAGCTGTAACTCACCTTGGCATGGTTTACTCTGACATGATGATTGAGAAATCAGGATTCATCTGATCAGGCAACTGTCTTCTATTTATTGATGTTTCTGGGCCCACTGTAGGGTTAGTTGACAATGACACTTGGTCAACAGAGGCAGACAAGTGGGATATCAGCTGGGCAGTCCCATATCCAACAGTGTCGCCTGAACTTTGTGTTCCAAAACACTTGGACTTGTATTGTATTGGGCTGTCAGCTGAGCCACTGTCTGATGCAGATTTTGCTGTACCAAGCAGGACAGTCTCCCACATCCTTCTTCTTTCATGACATGTGGATGTCCAACATGTTTACTTGTGATTTCACCGTCATTTATCTACTTTGCGTAAGTACTAACAATGGCAGATCGTGAACAACCCACCAACTGTGCAGTTTCGGAGATACTTTCTCTGAGTCTTTGAGCCATTACAATCTGCCATGTATCAAAATTCGTTTAGATCAGCAGCTTTTCCCATCTCTTCCAAAAGGCTAGAATGATTCCTTACTTCTGCAACAGCAGTTAAATACCATTTCCACTTAACCATCTGCACTCCACATCATCCAGACGAGTTCATTGAAAAATATGGGGATGGTCATAATGTTTTTGCTCATCAGTGTGTACCTTATATATATTTTTATTTTTATTTTCTCTCCTTCCGCTCTCCTGCAAATGACCAGACATGTTACATTGCATACAGGGGCACGCATTAACCCCTTTGCATCAGGTGGAAAAATATCCAAGAATGGCTCTGCATTATTTTATTGCACTATTTCTGAAAAGGCAGGAATGGAGCAATGAAAGAAAGGTGGTACCAAAATTGGTTTGCCAGATTTCATTCTAGTGATTTTTGAATAAAAAATGTGTAGTGATCTGGCCATCCAGTCAAAGTTGATGAGAGCCATATCAAAGCCATTATGGATTCAGATCATCATAGCAGAACACATGAAATTGCAGAGAAGCTCAGTGCATTGCATACATGCATTAAAAAAATTAAAATATCTTGGTTATGTTAAGTAACTTGATTTATGGGAATCCTTTATCAGCTTAAGGAAATTCATTTCACACAGTTAATTAACATCTGTGATTTTCTTTTGAAACACAATGAAATTGATCAATTTTTGAAACAACTGATTACTGGTGACAAAAAGTGAATAGTTTAGTTAGCATTAATCGAGAAATATCATGGGTGAAGCAGGATGAACCAGCCCAGACAATATCAAAAACTAAGAATCATGAAAAAAAGTTTATTTTTTCAGTTTGGTGAGATTATAAAGGAATTCTGTACTTTGACCAAGGAATCATCTGCATTGAACAACTCACTAAAGTGAGCGATGCTGTTCAAGAAAAGCGGCCAGAATTGGCAAATCATAAGGGTGTTGTTTACCTACATGGTAATGAAAAGCCCCCTCACATCTTTGGTCAGTCTCCAAAAATTACTGGAGCTAGGTTGGGATGTCTTGTTGTATCTACCATATAATCTTAACCTTGCACCTTCAGATTTCCATTAATTTTGTTCTGTGCAGAACTCCTTAAATGGAAAAATTTTCAATGATGCTGATGATGTAAAATCTCCTTTAATTAAATGTTTTTGATGACAAAAATGAGAAGTTTTGTGAACATGGAATTATGACTCTGCCTGAAAGGTAGTAAAAGGTCATCGACAAAAATGGAAAATATCTAATTAAGTAAAGTTATACTTTCAAGTAAAAATTTTGAATTTTCCTTCTTATTTAAAATCTACGATCACTTAGTTGCCAACCCAGTAAAATAGGTGTAATCAGCAATATGTTTAATTAATAATAGGAACTTTTTAAGAATTGTTGTAACTATTATTATTTCAAGCCTTAGTATAAATTACAATTAATTTTACAATTACTGTTATTTTTTGCATTATTATATTACAAACATTATTGTAAATTACAATTTCCATATAAAGCCTATGGGAGAATAATATATTGCAGGAATGGTCTAAAAAGTAACAGCACAAACTGGCTGAACCAAATTCTTGATTTAGCTTTTTTTTTTTTTTTTTTTTTTTTTTTTTTTTTTT